TAGTATCTCAGTGTCTTAGAATCAATCAATTTTAGTCTCTAAGGACAATTGTTAAAATCAAGATTTAAGTTAGTAGTTCAATATACTTAATGTTTAATCAACAATGTGAATTTATTTACCAAAATTAATCTTTATCTTAAACAGTAAGAATTATTAGGCAATAAGGATGTTTCTTTAGACAAATAAACTTACTTTTTAGGTGTTTATCATGTCAACATATGGACAAAATTTTAGCTCACATTAGTATAGTTAAATTAGGAAAATAACCTGAAATATCCTTAAATTAATTATAGTCAGTTTAGTATATATAAATCTCTTTTTTAATTGTTCTAACTTTTTACGTCATCTGTTTAGATAACAATATAAAAATATTTTTTACTTAGGAAAATGAATATAAAGACCTTGTATTACCCAAAGATGATTTCTTTCTTCTTTTTAGGTTCCATGTGTGCTTTTTCTTTGTTGAAGCATCTTTTTCTTTTAGAAAATTTTTTTGGTTATACTTTGGAACAATGTCTGAAAACCTTAGAATCTATAAACAAATTATTATACTTTGATAAGAAATATCAATGAAAATATAATTAAAATCCTTAGATATTTTGTAGACATAATTATAATTATTTATCATCTTATGAGTTTGAACAGTAACTTTGAGAATTATAAACTACTTGAAGATTGTATTTTTACTTAAAAGTAAATTTATAGTAAACACATTTATCTCCAATATCTGTAACTGAAAAGGCAGAGTATCTGATAAATGTAAATACAAAACATAAATTATGGGTTTTCTGTTGAAGAAAAACAATTAGGCAAATATATATTAACTAATCAATTAAGCATGTGCTAATTATTCTACAGATTAACAAATATAGGTTATCTAAATATCTAAAAAATATATATTAAGAATAAGAACAGCCGCCATCTGAGCCTGCAAGGTAGGCAGACCTGCAACCCACTGGCAGGACAAGCCCGGTAGCCTGCCAGCGTGGTGGACACGTAGCACCGAGGCAGTCACGTCACTCTGGTTGGAGTGGGGGTGGAGCAGGGCCACCACCCATGTCCGGAGGGGGCTCAGCGACCCGTTGGAGAGGCAGTCAGGTACCCCCATTGGGAGTGGGGGCTGAGCAAAACTGCTGCCCGAGCCCGTAGGGTGGGCAGACCTGCGACCCACCAGCGGAACAGGCCTAGAGGCCTGCCAGCATGGTAGACACGTCACACCAATTGGAGTGGGGAACGAGCAGAGCTGCTGCCCACATCCGGATCAGGACCAACGACCCGAGGGCGTGGTAGTTACGTCACCACAAATGGAGTGGGGGCAGAGCAGAGTTGCCACCCGCGCCCGCAGGGTGGGCAGATCTGCGACCAACCAGCGTGGTAGACAGACCACCCTAATTAGAGGTGGAGCACAGCCACTACCCGCCCTGCAACGGAGACTTCCCAACTATACAAGAGCAATATAAATAAATAGGGGGTAAATTTCAAAAACACAACAGTT